GAATCGATTGCGGGCGCTGCGGAATCGAGACGAATCGATTCACCCCATGAATTGTATTGCAAAGTGAATAGGCGGTGGGTCGCTATAATGACGGCCGTTGTAGCAAATGAACCGTTTTATTTTGGTCTCGATTTAATTGATATCTTGTTGGGACAAGGTTATGCAGCGCAAACAAATATTGAGGATGGTAAAATAGACGCAAACGAGAAGTATAATCTCAGTTATGTAAGGCTATATAAGATCAGGATTCTTCTATAAGTAAATGGGGACACACCGAGTACCGATTAGCATTAATTTCATGCAATTTCCGTACATAAAAAGTCATAAAATCCAGCAATGGGTACATTTTTCACAGATCCCGCTCGAAAACTAATTAAAGCCGTACTGGCACTTACTTGAACATCTAATTGAAAACTAATTAACTCAATATAGGTCATTATCGTTTAAGATATAATTAAATATATAGATTATAGTAGCGTTAAAGCCAATTAAAATAGTCCGATTAATTAGCTGAGGAGGCTATTAAGGTTTATTCTTTTCACGTTAAGGTTTCTCGTTGACAAATTACGAGTGCGGCTCCTTTCATGGCGCGGTTCGTGGCGAGAGGGCAATTGTCTCCGTACAATGCGATTACACACACAGATAATTCTAGAAAAACCTTTAAAAGCAAATTAGAAGCGATGATTTATTACTGAACCGCTTACGAAATGTAACTGAGCGGCCATTTAGGGTGTGTGCACATTGACGAATTTTGGTCAAGTTATGGTTGCTTGTTTATCTCTCTCTAACATTTTTATTTAGACTTTAATTTGATATGCGTCAAATAGAGTAAAGAACAAACGATTTCTAGTTTTCTTCCTATAGGACCTATCCGACAAACATCTACGAATGCTCCTAAACACAAACTATGCCTTAATATCCCTTATGATTTCTTATTACATCAGCCGGTCACTGCACCGTGCACACGTCCTAACCGTCAAATATCTTTTCCGCCAGTGTTTCCCGATCGCGTGCCTTACTGCAATTTAAATGTGCTCCAAATCTGAAAATAATTCGTTTCGCCCCGACGACGGGCGGCCGTGCGAATTAGAAGGTTTATTGGATGAACATTTGACAGGCTTGTTTAGCGATCTCACTGTTATATTCCAGCTATGATAGATTGTATGTTTGTCAGTACTATATACATATCGTGTGCGTTGAGAAGACGGGAGTGTTAAGTTCATAGACACATCCAGTTAGGATGTCGATATTGATTGATAGAATCATAAAAGAATACAGTTGCAAAATTCCTTTCCTACTAAATCGTAGAGTGACATCATATTAATCTGTGCCTTACTAAAACAGCGTCCACTAATCGGTGGACACCATCAAAGGACAGAAGGTGAACTAAAAAAGATATCAAGAGTATAGTTACGAGTAGCGGCGGGTACAGACGGCCAGCTAATGGCAGCAGTGATTGATGTTGATCGCCTGTCTTCGGCAAAAACGTGTGAACTCGGCTTAGCGGCTTTGCTCCAATTATTGCGTAACTCTTGGATGCTGTGTACGTTATCATTACGGTTGTTGCTTTGTGAGGTCAATAGAGGTCTTGGGCGTGAGGTGAAGGATAGTTTAAGGATCTGTTTAATGACCTTCGTGCAATTCTTACAAAGCAAGTTAAAGAATGTGTGTACATTTTGTTGCTATCATGGCCCTAGGATTCAGATCAAATATTTTTAGGGTTATAAGAACAGAGTTCTAAACAATTATTTTTCAGTAATGTAATCCCTGGTAGTGGTTCTATTAATAAATAGTAAGTAAACGATAGAAACACAATGATCATTTAACTTACAATCCAATAAAAAACCTTCAATGTCATTTTATCGCTCCACAAATAACACCAATATATCTTAATCACCGAAAAACCGAAAACAAACCTCAACGATTCATTGTAACCTAAATAATCACGGCCCATTACCCACCAACCAGCGGATAACCATCTATGGTAACCAAAAGGTTTATGGTGCACCAAGCAACGTTGCTAAACCGCTACTTAAGTTCACAAGCCGGAAAATAGCCGACGAAATATCGAAACTGATTTGTTAGAATCCATTTTGAAAATACTACGCAACTTATAGATCTAGGTTAAGACGGTTTCGCGAAATTTAGATCTATAACTGGAAAAATTTAGATAGAATTTTATGTCATGTCTTGTAGAATGTCTTGCTTAGCTTTGCGCTTATAATAGTCATTATTGGAAGGTTGGCCGATGCCTAAAGGAATGCCAAATTAATTTCCATATTTTATTTTCACGGATTCTGTCAGTGTTTAATAATAATTACTAAGAAAGGCTTCCACTATTTAAAACAATTGCAACAAGCTCCTGCCGTAAAGCCACTTCGCTAAAAATAAATCCATCAAGCAACAAACAATCAGCCGTCCAGACCGTGGGTTCGAGTCGCGTGCGACGTATTTACATACAAACGGGTGCGCGGGCGCACGCCACATTTAATTACACGACACGAGACAAATTGACGACCGCCCGCTAACGATCCCCGCCACTGAGCACATGGGATAAAATAGGTCTTTTTATGTTTTAATTAAATAGCTAGAGTGCTTCTTTAGTTTTAATGACTTTTATATTTTATTGAATAAATTACGAATAAATAAAATTACTTCGGTTGTGCACGATGGCATCTGGTAAGGAGATCATGTTAGACTGGTTATTTATTTATAAATAATATTTATAAAGATGTTAATGTTTAGCATTTAAATGTTTTTTTCTAAGAGTTGCGTTCTATTAAATCAACAATTTGGTTTTAAGTGAGGAGTCTTTAATTGTCGATAACCTTTCCTTTTATACAACCTACTTTATTAACCCAAAAACAGGTTGGTTACGTAACCTTGGCGGGCATTGTGGCGCGAGGTGACCGCGCGAGACATCCTAAGACAGTTTCCACCCTTGCACAACCCATTGTCGTTCAGTTCCACTTGCATTCATACAAATTGCGCTTGAGCAAGAAGGAAATTGTCGTTTGTATGGGCTAGTGGGCTTAGTACGGTGCCCTTGTCAGAACAAATGTAGCGGAGCATTGATTGATTGAACATTGATTGGTAAACTATATTTGTTCTAACTAAACGGTATTTGCTAACACGACTCTGTTCAACAGTTCTTATATAAAACAGTGCGATTGAAATAAAGCGATATATTGATTTACACGGTCGGAATTAAATATTACCTCGGTGGACTTGTTTAAGTGTTTTCAATTGTAACTGCCAAGTATGGGTTTGGTTCGCAGTTCTAGTTGCATGAAATCATAGAATATTAAATATGAAATATATTCGAATTTGTTAGCCTAGATTGGCTAGGAATAACCGAGCATACTTGTTGAAGTTTACTTCCACGAAGAATATAAACCTCGTTTGTCTTAAAATAAGTAATAAAAATATCAACTATTATTTACGGACGATGGAGTACTGTAAGCTACTCGATTTCTACAGAAATCTAACCTGAATCAATACGCATCATTAAAAAAAATATAACGGATGATTATGCGTGTAGATCGAATTATCGGGGTGCATCTCCCGGACATTGGCGATATCTACACGGAGCCAAATGTATCTGCATTCCAACAAGTCCCTATTCACAGAAGCAGAAGGTGCAAAATCGCCAAATCCAAATATATTTACCTTGTTAGGGCTAAGGATGGAACGAGTTAGAGTAGGAATTAAAGTAATTATCGATATTAATAATCGATCACGGAATGTGTTTTTTCATAGTTGCGGTTTTCGAATGTGGCGGTTGAAACGCGATAATTTTCTCTAGATTACAATTTGAGAATTTGCATTATTATTTTTTTAGTCCAGTCCAACTTTTAAACCAATGAGAACAGGCCACAGTTTTTTAAGATGGCGACCGATTTAGATTTGGACATTAATCAGATGTTCCATATCGATTCACTTGGCCGTACTGATTATATTCGAATAAGGTGTCAATCGATTTATCGTCATTATAATGAAGTCACGCAAAGTTTATAAATCGCCATTTATAGCAGACGAGAAGTTTTAATTATGTGTTCATGTTTATTAAAGATGGAAGGTTGAGGACCTTTGGTATTGTTATAATTGGTTTCTGCTCAGGTCGGGTGCCTTGAGTGTGCTTTACCCAGGTGCAGTCTCTTGATGTGATTTAATTTTATGGATGATGAGTCGAAATAAGTATGAGTTGGCATGGAGTTCGTTCCTGCTTTTTTTAATACTTATGAACATGTATATTTTTTGTAAAATGATGTCTTTTAAATAAATTGTCGCAAAATACTGTTTTTCTTTTATAATTATTTATTTCATTATATTTTTAATTTCAAGAACAATCAGCGTTTAAAAACCGCTCGTTTACATCGACTAAATAGTCCTTGATACGATTATAGAAATTTACATTTCCGATTTTCTGTTTTCGTTTCCTAATAATTAGAACGAATCGCACAGGTACCCGAGTTTACGAATTAAGTGCTTGTTTAATTAATGATTACACAGATTTTTAATTACTCGACCGTTTGTACTGAGTTTTAAGAGGAGAATTACATTTTCCTTAGATGAAGCTTGGATTCAATTTTACAGAGAATAGGTATACAAGGAATTGTAATTATGGGAATTAAGGATTTCACCTAATAGTCATTAGTATGTTTTTGAAGAATAAGGATTATTTATTTCCCTATGTGATTTGCTTTGCAGAAATTGTATTTAAAGTCAAAGCCAAAGTCAAATTCTAAATCATTTATTCCAACTAAACTATAAATAGGTACTTTTGAAACTTCAAAATGGAATAGTAGTCTGTCAGTCTGTGCTGGTGTGTTGCTCGTACCAAATTGTATATTCGAATGGAGAACAAGAATTCAAAACTAACATAGCACCAACCTCTTTGTTTTTAAGTATATTTAATGCTAGCTTCGATTTATAGCTTTATTATCTATCCTAATATTGAGACTATTATATAAAGTATATGTAGTTATTAAGATGTTTACCTTGCATCCTTCACAAGTGAATGCGCCGAAATGGAACCCGGCCGCTGGTTCTCCACATACTTTGCACTTTTGGTTCATCTGAAATAAAAAACAATTATTATTAAATTTAGTTTGAAAAACACTTGATTGAAAATAGTATATAAGAGGCAATATAGTATTTAAAATTGAAATCAAAAGGAAATATTAGAAAATATATTGATTACAAAGTAAGAGAAAAGCGTTAAAAAATGCACTCGCGGAGCATGAAACTAACGAATATTGTTGCTGTTATCGCTCGACATAAACGAATATGAAACTGAAAATCCGCCACAGAAACCCAATTCACTGTTAATATGCCATGACCGAGATCGGCCATTTTCCAATCAGTCATTTAGTTGTTAATTTCGAAGAGCATGGGGCATGTTATTGGTTGCATACGCGATAAAATCGTTTTGTATGTATCGATTAAACGATATTAATTGTTGGGATATTATTTCAAATGCGTTACGTGTGGCCTTCGACGCGTTCTATATTTAAAATTTCCTCGGTTTTCAACAGCAAAAAGATTTTATTACATTTTATTCTTTGACACATAAAATCATTTTTTATCTGTGCGATTGACCGAATGTCTTTTTTACGATCGTGTTATGTGTCATCGATAGTGTTTTCTTTGCCTTTTGAGGTGAGCAGATCGCAAAGTTAATGTGTAGGCAACTGTCCGTCGGCATCGCTCACACGTTTGCAAATAAAACATAAAAAACACGATACATTTGCATAAAATTCAGAGTGAATAAACTTTATTACGCATAAATGAACAATTTTAATTAAATCGAACTTATTTTTGTTACAAAACGACATCTGCTCCTTATAAAAATAACAATAAAGTCGTAAGTAGTACCTTTTCTGTCAGCGTGTGAGTTATTGTAATGACAGTATCACATTTTAATGGTTATTTCAACGGTTTTTACACTTTTAAGCTCGTAATATAATGTAATGTCCATTGTAAATTGACAAAAATGTCTGTTATTAAGAAAATTATGCGATTAACTGAGGAAATATGTTCGGGGTGAAGTAAAAGGAGGAGTTACGAGCTGAAGGCAGCCATGTTGCGCTGGATACTGCGTCAGATCGTTATAAGGATCTCGGTTTCTGATGGAGATCCTTGCACAAGCCGAAATAATGTGGTATTCAGAATCCATTTATTTATAAACATTATAAAGTAAATTTAAGAAAGTTATGCATGCTAAAGTCGACTTTAATGTCTTATTATGATAGTGAGATATTGGCTTAAGAGTTTAAAGTAGCTCTCAGAATTATCTATTATGTTATTAGCTATTATTGAAGTTTTGTTTTTATAATGAAATAAAATATTTATAATAAGTATTGGATTTAACTTGGGCCTTATAAACTGCTCGATATTCTTTCATCAAAAGAACTACATAAAGGCATTATATTAGCCCTATTTTGTTAGTTGCTCGAGTTTTATCAATATACGGAATTCTGTAAATATGTGCGAGAGTTTTTAGTACTTGATGTTACTTCGATAGTATCAGGGATAATGTACTGCAGGCAAAGTATGAAGCAAATATTTCGGGTGAACTTGTTTCAAAGTAACTACAAGTATTCGTTATAAGGCGCCTAACTGTACGTGGGAACTCTTAAGGTTTCTGCAGGTACTGAGAATGTTGTGGAATTAATTAAAAGTGGTTTAAGTTACCTAAACGACACTTTTATTAAAGTTTTATTTTTGTGAACAGTGTTTTGTACTTGAAACTAGCTTTTGCCTGCGGCTCCGACGCGTTGAATAGTGACTTCCTGCAGATTTTTAGTATTAAAACAATCCTATGTCCTTTCTCGAATTTCAAACTATGTGTGTACCAAATTTTACAGAAATCGGTTCAACAGTTTAGGCGTGAAAAAAAAACAGACACACAGAGATACTTGCGAATTTATAATATTAGTATAGTATAGATTGTAATGACGTGGTAAATAATTTGTATAAAATTATAAGAGTATTAACTTATAAAAACTGCATTAAAGTTAAATAAAATCACTTACGAAGAACGAAAGTAAACATCAAGTTTAACGCACTAGTTAAAGATTTCCCCTAAAACAAAAACGAATTTCCCACACAATTGTAAACGCAGGAGACAGTCGAAGATTTATCCACGGACATAGGAATAAACTTTGTGAAAATTCCCGAGATTCCAATCGGAGACAAAACGAACAAAAGGCTAGTTGCTACGTAGTAATCCGTTTATCTAGCGCGCGGGGATCGGCAGAGATGCAGGTGGATGCGTACGCGCAGGGTACACGACGCTGGATACTTAAAATGTTGGAAACGTTGTTACAGTGAAAGATTTTTAAACTTCGATCTAAGTGAAATGTTGCTTTGGATTTTTATGTAAGTAAGGTATGTTTGTGTCTGCTCTTCGAGTGTAGTTAGTTGTGTATAATTAAACAGTCTAAGATGCAGAGTGCCATTAACGAATTTTCATTCTTGCTTCAGATTATTACACACTTAGGGATAATTTATTCTGTATATTTGAAAAATGTTAATTTGTACTCATTATTACCTACATTCATGATATAAAGTGTCATTGCTTAAACTAATCTGACATCTTAACTAAAAGTGATATCAATAACCAAGATCCCTCTACCTAATCAATTGTCTTATAAATTTAATAACGTCCAAAACCACTCATATATTTAAAGACTCCACACTTTCTCTGTGCGAAGCCAACGTTAATATAAAGTAAATCACGCAGCATGCGACCGACGCGACGCGACGCCTATCGCTCGACTCTTGCGCACCTCCAAATTAGAACCCACTTTCAAGGGTCACTATAGATACAAAACTTCTAGTTAGATTTTGAAAAAACACGTTTATTGAAAATGTATATGTTTTTCAATTTTTCTGATGGATATCAATATCACATAACACAGTGATGTCAAAACCTTACACACTTATAGGGATCGATTTTAATAATCACACGTAATCACACATAATTGGTCCAATCAACCGCAAACCATAAAGGTTGTATCGCTTTAGAGTAATTATATTAAAAAAAAAGAAATAAGTATAAGCGGCCAGCTATATATCGAAAATATTGCGTTACAAATAATAGAATGAAGAGATGTTCGCTTATTTTAACTTTGTCATTGATCAAAATACCTCAAGGTCAATGACCTGAAATACATGCAAAAATCGAGCGCCGGCGCATACGCTTCGAGTAACCTCGATATACGCCTCCGTAACTCGAAGCAGCAGATCGATTCCCTTACAACATGACTTAATTAATTTCTCGCTTACATTAATCTTTTTAGGGCACTCTCCAAATAACAAAACACGATGGATAATCAACTGTAACACTGTATTCGAAAGTCGATTATGCCTTGATACAATTTGGGGTGTACTCATGCAAATAAATTGAATGCCCATGACAAGTTTCAAGTCGCGAAAGGTCCGCAGTCGAAATAGCTGTCACCGTTGTCAGTGCGTCTCCAATCATATATCTCGGTTACAATCTGGAAATGCAATTAGCATATTAATCGCTTCATATTTCGATGATTAAAACCTTCGCTATATTTGTATTCATTTTATTTTGATTTATATTCGAGTATAGCCAGATTTAAATTTAAACATACATATATGACTGTGTGATTTGTTTTATTACGACTGGTTAATTATAATTATCATAGTACCCATTCTGTGTTTTTAATAAAAATCAATTTGTATTATGTCAATCTGGTCGTTTTAATCGACAACGTTTCATTGACACTGCGTCGGGCACGGTAGCTGGAAGTCTATTGAATGGCGCACAGCACTCGTCAAAGAGTTCGCGAGTAAAGATCGGCGCGTTTCTTTAAATATTTCATTTCATTGCATCTATATAATTATATCGTAAACCGTTGCTCTGAAACATCGCGATATTAAAATCTTTAGAATCATTTCCAGAAATCGTCTATAGTATAGAACATCGGCGTCGTGGCGGAGTCCATTAAATACTGAATATGCACGCGCTTACAGACGTTAAATCTTACAACGCAGGACCAATTTCCGCGCTAACGGTCGGTCCTTTAAATCAAAAATATCGGCTTTATAGGTTCCATTACTCGTAATACACGTGTATTTGTATAGATCGAGATTACGTGCGTACTCACACTACATTATCCGCTTGATTTATAGATTGTTACACGGAGATGAGTTAATCAGTGAATTAACGCACTCAAAAACTTTGAACTTTAAATGCCACGTCTCGGGCAATAGTGTGAATTGCAATAAATTGTGACAAATCCTTGTACACTATGCTGTAAACATTTTAACTTGTGTACATAAACGAAGCTGGGGTAAAACGTTAAAATATTAATACGTAAGCAGTGTGAACTATGTTATAGATACTTTAGAGTTTTGTCTTCAACAATTCGGAAAACTATTGAAAAGGTCTTCATAATGATGCGACCGTACCGTAAGCTATATCACAGTGAGTTGGTGTCCCAGTAGACGTGTTATTTGTATCGTGTGAAAGACGGCGCGGCCTGTCATTTGGCGTGACCACCATTATCGATGCGCCGACCTCGTGGGAATCTATGGGGTTTATGGGATTCTGAGGCAGGGTTAACAGGTGCATTTGTTGAGGCAAGCGCTGACTGATGGCATGTCGTAATAGTGGATTGACGTGTTTGTGAGGTTCCTTTCCGAGATTGTTGTGGCTTCTTATTTTGCGTTTGCATTAGAAACGTTTTCTTTTATAGTGTTTTGTAATAACTGCTATAGAATTTGAATTATAATTTTGCTGTAGGAATAAAGGTTCAACCCCAAAACACTTCACACCATTATTAAAAAAATATATACAATTTTTTCGTCTCAAGACGCTATCCTAACTTAAGCATCAACAAGATCTCAGATCTCTGTATGTAAGTAAGTGATTGAGATTATCGTTAACGAAATCCCGTTAATAACAGTCCAATAAACCGCCAATCACAACCTACACTAATTAAACAAGCCAATGGCTTATCTAATCTAGATGATCACAATCCAAACGTGGTTGGAAACATTCTCCATGTCTGTACGAACTTATATTTTGACACGAACTCAT